CGTGCGGGGGGGGATCCTGCCCCGTGAGGGGGGATCCTGCGCCCGTGGGGGTGGATCCTGCTCCGTGTGGGGGGGATCCTGTGTTTTGGGGGTCCGGGCCCCGTTCTGGGAGGGAGAGGGTAAGGGCGGGCCGGGGATCCTGTCCCTAGTCGTTGGGAGGAGCGGGAACGAGGATCCCGTCCCTGAGTGCGGGGAGACCCCGCGTTCGGGGGTGCCCCGGGGGTCCCGATCCCGCCCGTGCCGGGGGTGCTGGGACCGGGGGGGGGGGGTGGAACTGGCTCTGCCCCGCCCCCCGCCCGTGGCTCCACCCCGGGAGCAGGGCGGACCCCGCCCCTTTCGGCAACCAGGAAGTGACGAAACGGAAGCTCGGGGGGGGAGCGGCCTCCGTCTCCAGGCGACGCGGTGATGGCGGCGGCCGGGGCGGCCGCGCTCCGCTCCGCTCCGCTCCGCTCCGCTCCGGATTCCGCGCCGCCCCGGGCCTCGTGGCGCACGAGCGCCTCGTGGAGCACCTCTTCCCTTTCTCCTCGTTGGAAAGTGTCCCTTTTTTTGGAGTTGCCAGTTTATAGGTGTTTTTTTGTTGAGAGAGACGCCCACAGCTGTGATTTCCTCGGGGAAAACCTTTCCGCAGCCTTTGGCTGTGGTGAAAGAAGGAAACCTCGCCCCCGGTGGTGCCAGTCCAGCTGTGGCAGTTGATCCCTACAGCRCATGGACACGCTGGCGTGAGATCCAGAGACGACAGGAACCACCCAGGAGACACTCAGATCCACACGGGACAGCCCYGGCCTTGGTACCAGCCCTGTGATTGCCAGTTGTGTCCCCAGAGACCTCTGAAGAAACAGACTATAGGACAGCAAGGAGTTTTTCTTTTTTTCTTTCATTATTTTTTGGGGGAAAGGGTGGAACTTGGCTCAGCTTTGCAGTCCCCCGTGGTATGTGCGGTGGTCCCACGCAGGCCCTCACTTGGGCTGAGCCTGTAGCAGCGTGCCCTCCAGAGCAGAGTTTCGCAGCGGCTCTTTCGCCCTGAAAGGAAGGAAACACGCTGGGATGGCGGAGTTGGGATGACGGCCGCAAACCCGSGTAGCCCCCGCACGGCAGGACGGGGCCGGCTCACCACGTGCCCTCCACGTCCTCGACGCCCTCGGGCAGGCGCGCGTGCAGCGTCTCGGGGAGCAGGAAGGCCACGGAGCCGCAGCAGGCCGCCACGCCGCAGTACGTCACCTCCGGCAGGGGCGGCCACACGCTGTCCAGCAGGAACACCAGCGGGGCCAGCGCGCCGCCCAGGCGGGCCACGAAGGACGTGTAGCCCATGCCGCTCTGCCTGCAAAGGGACGGCGCCGCCGCCGCAGGCCACGGCCGCTGCTTTCRCGCCGGACCCGTGGCCCTCTGCCCCTGCCCCCTGCGTTGCTCTGCGTGCTGAGGCTTCCCCCCCGCCCAGGCTTTTCCTCTGCTCGATTCTTTTCTAGGCTTTTTCTTATCACAGAACGATACTTCCCAAATAGCAAGAATGTCCGCAGTGTGAAACAGATTTGCTTTGAATATGCAGAAGCTTAAGTTCTGCACTAAAAATATCCACGCTGAAGTTGTTTCCACTTTAAATGCCTAAAACCCTGCGAGTGTTTTCTGCCTGTCCCCTGGTCCATCCCTTCGTGTGCTGAGAGCAGAGTTGTGTCCCTCCATCTTCTAGATGCTTCCAAACAGCATGGACACTCCTGTGAGCATCCTCGGTCCTGCTGTAGCTATAACTGAGGAGAACTTGGAGAGGTGCTCAAAAATAAATCCTSGGACCTACTCCACTCGTTATTTTGCAGTGAAAGAATGGCACTCTGCACTTGAAACGAGCTTGCAGGACCTGCTTGTACATACACAGAAAATGTACAASAAAAAGCGTATTTTTGCCTTTACATGTCAACACCTTTCAGTGCATAAAAATACCAAGGTATCTAAGAAGAAAGGTAGAAGACCAGGGTGCCCGCTGTACTTTAAATGTGCGTCGTTCCCTGCGTACGACAGACCAGGGAAAGGTAATTCCCTCCACGAACCTCAGCAACATCCCAAGTGGTGCTGCAGCTAAAACGTCACCATTACCTGAAAATCTTCTAAATGAGCTGTCTTCTTTTCACCCTCTGAATACATGTCCCTTTAGGCGGGCCTGGCTGTGGGCTGGGGCGAGCGGCGGCTCTTACCTCAGTACGGTGGGGTAGAGCTCGGACGTGTACAAGAAGACAGTAGTGAAGGCAGATTCAGAGAAGCCCTTGCCCATAACGGCTACTACAGAGCGCAGGGAGCTGAAAGCTGGGAGGGAAGAGAAGACACTTAGGCCAGCGGTGGAAAAGCAGCCTGTTCAAAGACGCTCCCGTGGCCTCTTGGGGAACAAGGGAGAAGATTCGGAGGTCCTAARGGCAAAATAAGGAGCTGCATAGCTCTGGGACTACTGCCTCTGAAGCCTGGAGAAATACATTTAGTGGCAAACTATTAGCCAAGTGGGAGTTGAGCTGCTGAAGGAAAGGGTCCCAACATTTTCCCCTGGACACTGTCTGTAATAAGATGGGCACTTAATCTGACTGTCACTAAACCCTGCCTAGGCACCATGCAGTGATGGGAGACTGTCTCTTGCCACCAGACATTAGGACTGGCCCCCGTCAGCAACCTTGACCCCCAGTTACCCTTGTAGGTGGAAGGCTTCTCTGTAGAGAGCTGCCTGTGAGGAAGATCTCCCTTCCTCCTCCTCTAGCAGTGCACTGAGTGGAGGCCTCCTTTTTTAGCAAGTGCTGCAGAGAGCAGACGAGGGTCTCACACTTGGGGATGATGACGTTGGCTCCAATGCACAGTCCCGTCAGGATGAGGGTCCACGCCTGACTCTGCCGTCGTCCAACTCGGTTCACTAGCACATACATGATCAGCTTGGCTGGGATCTCAATGATGCCAAAAACAAATTGGGAGAGATAGATATCGAGCCCAAAACCCGTTAGATTCATGCTCATGCCGTAGTAAGAGAAGGCAACGCCAAACCTGCAGGGAGTGTGTGGAAATGAGAATTAGGGGAATGGAGCCAGGAAAGGCAGGTCAAATCCCTCGCGTGGAGCAGCGCTGCTTACCACACAGCGCCAGAGCAGAGGGAGATCCTCCGCAGGACCGGGGTCCTGAACAGGCTGACGTAGGAGTGGCCGTGCCCTGCCTTCTCCGTCGTCATCCTCTTGAGGGCCTGAGAAGGGTGGAAAGAAGGAGGAAATAATTCCAACTGATGCACATCTAGTGTCCGGACGTGGAGCCCTGGTCAGGCCTGGCCCCTGGATTTCCCCGCTCCAACACTTGTTTTTTTTTTTTTCCCACAAACTCCCATTGCAATTCGCTGGACAGACATTTTCAGAGGCAAGTCTTCCTGTCTGCTTTTATAGAATACTCCACCCAGCAAAGAGGATCTCCTCAAAACAGTGCTCATGATGTTAGTGGCGTCAGGGGTGGCCAGTGCCACTCTCGTACCCGCATGGCTGGGTGCCACTTTGTCATATCTCAGTAGGACAGCTAAAATTGAAATGATGGTGTATCACAGGGCAAAAGCCCAAGCTGCTCATGAGCCAGCATGTTCTGCCCCCCATTACAGGGCAGTTACAGTGAGGCCTCGGTGTTATTTTCCAGGCTGTGCTTCTCTCCGGCTGGATGTTTAGACCAGCATCCAGATGTTTAGACCAGCATCCAGGGCAGTGAGGCTTGTCAGGGCAGCACTGAACGGAGAGAGGCTCCTTGCAGTGTAAGGGGAGCTCTGGCCCCGTGTGAGCTCAGCTGCTGCCTTCTCTTTAGGGATGCTCGTGACTCCTTTCCCACATGGCACCCTATGGATCGCAGCACCCCGCAGGTCACACAGCACGCTGCGCATGGCCTTGGGTATCAAAGAGAGGTGCAACAGAGAAAATTGGAGAAGGGTATGGCAGAAGGATGTGTGCCTGCATCTTCGGGCTCTCACCTCTGTGGAGATGGTGAAGTCCTTCCTGCCGTTGATCCTCGCGCAGCGAAGCAGATGCCTGTGAGCCTGCTTCGCCTTGCCGTTGGCTATGAGCCAGCGGGCAGACTCCGGGACCCACCTGGCATGGGGAGAGAAGGCAGCGACCCGTTGGCACTCGGTATTTTCCAGCCCACATACAAGGTCCTGGCCAGTGAGAGAGGAGCTTCTGTGTGGGGCTTCAGCTGGAAACAACAACTTTTTTGTTATAAATGCWCACGYATACACACACACRTGTATATCTGCAGTCCCACGAGCCTGGAGGGGTACGTGGTGCCCACACGGTGCTGAGCCCCAGGGAGGCAGCAGTGGGAGAACCCCATGGGCCTCCTGTGAGAGCAGCCCAAACCTACCTCCTTGCACCCGGCCCTGTCCCCTGGGAGAAGGGAGAGAAGGGTGAAGCTGCTGCTTTCCCGGCGGAGGAGGAGCGTGGAGGCCACACTCGTCCTCTGAGCTGCTGCTGCTCCTCTGGTTGGTGCTTTGCAGATTGCAGGCGAAAACAGATGGGGAAGCTCTAAACACAGAACTTGAAGCCTTGGAGGAATATGTGGGCAAGAGTTTCTGCTGARGCCATGTGCTTGTCAAAATCATTTGCAGTAGGGGACCTCTGCAAAGTTTTCAGTCACATAARCTTGCACTTTAATCCACTCGGTGACTATAAAATGCCATAAAGACAGCATTTTGTACCCATTGTCCTCATCTCCAGGGGGTACTGGTATGTCCTGTGGTTGCCTGATGTCTCAGACAAATTATAACATAATGTCAACAATATTCCCAGAAGGTGCTAAATTAGATTTTGACTCTATACTTCAGGGAGTCCTAATTGTGCTGCAATCACCACCCTTTTGGGTGCTTAAATACTGATGCGACTGCAGGCTATCTTCTGGGATCAGTGGTCTCTGTAAAAGGCATTGATGTAAAAGAGAAAAAACCCACAGGTATCATGGAGAGGGATGGGCCCGAATGTGTCTGTGAATTGCAATGTTTCCCAAGGTTCAGTTTTTATGGTTATAGTATAATATAGAGGTATAGTATAGTATAATATAGTTGGTTGTCCAAGGGAAAAAAAAGAAGAAAAAAAGAAAAGAAAGCTCCAAAAGTGGATGGAATTTGATTGCCAGGAGGATGAAACCTGAGGCATTCGGGTGGGAGTGTGATGTTCCAGTGTGGAAAACCACCCGGGCAGCGCCACGGGCAGCATGGACCTACTCACCACAGGCACACGATGCTCAGGAGACACGGCCCAGTTACGGCCACCAGGAGCCAGCGCCAGTCCCGCACCAGGTAGGCCACCATGGCGAGCAGCATGTTCCCGACGCTCCAGAAGATGCTCGTGAGGATCCCCGAGAGGGTGCGATGCTGCACGTCCACCCACTCCATCCCTGCAAGAGCACCACAACACTCAGCCCAGGAAAAGGTCTGTGGGGCTTTGTAATGGGGCAGTGGAGATTTATTTTATTTTATTTTATTTTATTTTATTTTATTTTATTTTATTTTATTTTATTTTATTTTATTTTATTTTATTTTATTTTATTTTATTTTATTTTTCTCTAGAGGCTTCCACTGCTTGGCTGATGTTTGTCACATTTAAAAACTTCACCCAAAGAAGTGAGCCTCTGGCAAAGTCGTAAGCCACTAAAATACAGCCTTAAAAGGAGAAACACTGGACAAAATAAAAAGCATCCCAGTGCTGAAAACATCTAATGTGGTACTTTTAAAATTCCATTTGATAATGTTCAAATGATTTTTGAACTCATCCCTCAGACTCATCCCTTTCCCCCCCTCATTATATCTTGTCTGCAGTTTTTCTGCCTACCTATTACTCAAGGTTAAAGAAAAATATTAAGATATAACTGACTTACCTATGGAATCTACCCAGAGCAGACACTAATACACATATAAAGCCAGAAGACTTTATTTTAGTTACATTAGTACTTTTTTTTTTTTTTTTAGGTTTGATTTTTGTGGTGCTTTCCCTGCCCTTTTGAAAAATACACAGATTTGGAGCACACAAATCCCAAGTCCAAGCAAAGCCAAGACTGGGAAGGAAGGAACACCCCTTAAGTGACACCATCGTCCTCTCGCTGAAGGCCCGGGCACGCAGATGCATTGCCCCAAGTGCACCTGAAGGGTGAGAAGTCAACATGGGAGGCAAGGGGTAAACACTTTAGTCTTTGTTTTATTGCATTACTGATGATCCTTAGCCAAAATTAGCCCGTGTGGTTATTATTCCAGTTGATTTTATCCTGTCTAGGCTGCAGAGGGGTGCAGCAGGCATCGCCGAGCCGCCGCTTACGTACCCAAAGGCAGCACGATAAGGGAGATGCCGCTGAGGGCCGCGCCGGTGAGGGTCCGCGTGGCAGCCAGCATGGTGTAGGAGGCGGAGGCGGCGCTCAGCATCCCGAAGAGCAGCGAGCAGAGCAGCGACAGCAGCAGCAGAGCTCTCCGGCCGTACCTGCCACAAGCGCGGGCCGTCACGGCAGCCCGAAACCCGGGAGCAGGGCTGGGAACGGGAACTGCAGCCCGGTTCGGCCTTGGGGGCTCTCTCCATGGCCAAAAGGTGAGCGAACACTCATTAACCTGACCCTCCAACGCCCTATCTCCCAATAGAAAGGAGCTGTATGAGGTTCCCTGCAGGGTGCAGGACAGCTCTTTACAGATCTGTTAGCAGAGTCTCTCAGGCAATGTAGCCACCGGGTAGGGAGACAGGAAAGGCAGCAGGATTGAACTGCCGGCTGCAGGGAGGCTGCTACAAGGGATGGGGTTGAAATCACCTTCAAAGAGAGAGAGGGAAGAGCCCAGCTGCTGAAAGGGTAAATGTAAACAAACAAACAAAAAGAATAAAAGGAGTAAATCACAGAAGAATAGCAATAAATAAAAAGATGATGCGTGTGTTTGTAGAAGCGGTTTAGAACAAATAGCAAGATGAAATGTAACAAAATGCCATGGTGGTTTTCACATCTGGGGAACTAGAGAATCAAAGGATGAAGTGTCTAAACTACTTCTGTCTCCATGAAGTGGGACCTCTTAGTGACTCTCTGTTAGAGAAAAGGAAGGGGGCTAGTAGGACATCAACTTATAAGGGGCCTTAGGCAAGATGTGGGGCACATCTGAGGTCTCATAGATCTGGCACTGATAYGTGATAAAATGGGTAAAAATCAGGTTAAAATTTAGAGTTCAGACATATGTGGATAAGCAAATACTGGAGGAGTCAGCATACCTTCTGTAGGTAATACAGCACCTTTTGGTCTAGCAGAGACATCTTCCTCTGCCTTATTTTATCCTGCTGCTTTTCCTGACTCTGAATTTCTTTTTCTCCAACTGAGGACCTTTTTAGATAGGCAGCCGAGGCWCCTTGTCTGAAAACCAGCCAGGTGCCTTAGGTGCTCACACAAGAGTTGCATTGATATATGTGAGACTGATGCAACAGCACTAGTCTTCAGCACTAAGTTGCTGGGGTGCAATATAAGGAAAACCCACAAACAAAACCCCAAATTCTTAATTTCTGCCCTTTCTGAGTTGTTCAACTCTCTTTTGGCTCATCCTGTCACATTTTATCGTTCAACGAGACCAATAGGGTTCCTTCCCATTTTCCTCCTGGGAATTCCTGAGCTCCTTCCAGAGGAATGCCACCCTGCTTGTAACTTCCTGGGCTCTTATATCTTCCTTGTCTCTGCCTAGGAAAGACAGAGTCGAGTTTTCCTTTCTCGAGACTCTTTCTCAGATGTGGCATGTGTTTACTGCAGGCCCCTAGTTTACTGCAAGCCCGGAGCTGGGAAGGGAGGAAGGGGAAATAGCCTGAAAAATGCCAAACTTGGAAAGGGAGGAAGGGGAGTAGCCTGGAAAATGTCAAACCTGTCCGAAAGGTATCCAAAGATCACAGCCCCCACTGTGACACCAACGAAGAAGAACGTTGCAGTCGCTTGGTTCAGTCCACGCTGCTCACACACCAGGTCCCACTGAAACACAGGCCAAAACAACTCCTAGGGCCCAGTCTAGCCCCTGCCCCACCTTCTCCTACCCCTTCCCTCCAGCAATCAGCTGTGGTGTCTTGCAGCTTATCTCTGCCAAGCTGACTGAGTGAAAAGCAGGACCCCAGACTAAGCCGTGCACAGGACACTGCCAAAGCCTCACCAAAATGGGAGGCTTCCCAGTTACTTGGCCCCACCATGACAGCTCTGAACCTCTGTGCTGAGAAGGAGGAGGGCAGATGAGTAGTCAGACCAAATAGTTGTTCCCAATATGCACCTATCATTTTTTTTTCCCGAGGAGTCTAGACCTATTCCTTCAAAAAATTAATGAGCATCATCGTCCTCTCTTGGAGGTGCAAATGTTGTTAATCATTGCCATCCTCCCTGCTGAAGTTAATTTTCTGCACGTGCATAACTCAGCAAGACTTAGGCTAATCATCCACCAGCCTCATTGTGTCTGTGACAAAGCCAGCCACAATTTGAGCCTTCTCCCACAGGACACTTTGCCCCTTTCTCCTCAATACGGTGCAGAAATGTGATGCAGACCCACGGATAGTCAGGTGGTGGAGAAGAGACACCAGCTCTAATTTAAGGTTTGGCCTTGGAAAACATCTTGAAGCAGTAGCACTCCTGGTCTCATTTCCAGCCCCCCGTTGCCTAAATTGTCCCTTTCCTCCAGATCCCCTGTGTGTTGGGCCACCTTCAGCGAAGGAAAAATAGAAGCTGTAGGTGAAGTATTAACTTCAGAGGTATGGCTGTCAGACAGCCCTAGCTTGTGGTTAACGTTTGACCTGCAGGCACCTGGGGCAGGCTGAAGGTTAGGACCAGGCAGCACGTTGGGTCTCAGAAGGAGGCCATAGAGAGCGTGTTTATTTGATGAGGAACCTCTTATAACTGGACTGACGGTCTCCTAGGCCGCAAAACACCTTCCAAGACAAGGAAAGCGTGTGTTGGGGTCTTGATACAACAAAGCCCTCACCCTGCCCTGGCTCCACGGGCAGCACCTGATAGGCTTGATGGGCACCTACTGCGAGGCTTCCCTGTCCCTGTTTTCTGAGAAGAAAGGCATGGAAATCCTAGGGTGAACAGGAGGAAACGGTGAAGAGGAGCAGCCAAGGGAATAGGAATTGGAAAAGTCTCTGGGAAATGAGAAAAGCGAGTCATGTGCTCACATGAAATCCTTACAGAGATTTGCAGTCACCTGCAAATATTATGTGGCCCAAAAGAGAAAAGCCCATGATCCCAGCTCACCCTCTGTCTTACTGTCTCTTTGCCTGGAAAAACTGAGATGCTTTTAATGAGAAATATTGGGTTCTAATTCTCATCTTCAGAGAGCCTCCCCCTCCCAAGTCATCCTCTCTAAACAGGGTGATTTCAAGCGGTGATTAAAATACACAGATTCTCCTCTGATTCTGTGCACCTAGGAGAAAGCTTTCCATCTGCTCCTCCAAGCAATGAGCTAATTTCCTTTTCACCCAGATCAAAAGCAAGGGATTACCTGGGTGGCTATGGTGGAGGCAAACTGCGAGTGGTCGTAGACCCATCCGTGCTTGCAGGGCTCAATAATCGAGTCATTTTCTGGTTGCAGAGAGGAATTGAGCAGGAGGTAAAACTGAGGTTGTGAGAACATCTCACAGGACCTGAAGGTGCCGTCAGGCTCCCGGGGGATGCTGATGAGTAGAAGTTCCTCTGTGGTGAAGTTCACAAATGCCTCCTGGTGTGGAATTGCACAGTGATGAGAGGGAGTAGCAGCAAGAAAATTGTGCAGCAGGAAATGCATGGGAAGGTTGATTCTTGGGAAGCAGAGGAGAAACAAAATCAAAATCTGGAATCGGCCAAAGCCACCAATGTCCAGCAAGAGATCTTCAAACTTCATTTCTTTTCTGTGGAGTTTTCTCATTCAAAGCTGCTAAGTACCGGGGAGCAGCTACACGAGCTTGGAGTGGTCTCTGTCCTTGGACCTCGACTTCTTATGGCTTTTTGTACAGCCCCTTCCTTGGACTTTGAGACCTTGCTGAAAGGTTGATATTCCCACGGTGACACTCTGCATTTGGGGTAGAGCCAAAGAGATCATCCTGCGTGCGCAAAGCACAACCATATCAAGTGGAGACAGCACAAGGTGCCTTCTCTTTTTTGGAAGCATTTATTCAGAGCCCTCCTGTTTTTTTTTTTTTTTTTT